AAATATACTAAATAACTATACTAATAAAATAAATACAAATAAGAATAAAATAAAATAAAATAATAAGAAATTATGAAGATGGAGGAAACCCATGGTAACAATGTACACACGACAAGGATTAGTGGTAGTTCAGTCGCGCGCGTTATAATGGAACATTCATTGTGAAATACTTTCAGCAAAATCGTGATGAATTAGGGGAGATTTTCAATAACCCATCTATCGCAGAAAAAATTCAGCAAAAAAATAAAAATAATATTTTTTCACCTATTTCTCATAAAATAAAGGGTTCAAAGTTTCCAAAACCCTTCTTAGTAATACCAGCTTGGGCTAAATATGACTCTCACCTTATCGCAACAGAAGTATATGAGGAGCGATATGTAAAACCTTTACCCAAGGAAGGTGATGTATATGTAGGCTCACAATAGGAGACAGGAAAGACTTATACTTTAGAACACCTTACAATTCCAAATGCTATAAATTTGCTCGCTCTATCTACACGACATACTTACTCTAGTGCCATTACGGTAAGACTTAATCTCAAATCATACTGTGATATTGAAACTAAAGATATAAACCTTCCAGATCACCAAAGAGTAGTATATCAGATAGAAAGCTTGCATCGTATTATTACCAAATGCAAATGCGAGAAAAAATGTAAATGTTCTCCAATACCATATGACTTATAGCTCGATAAGGTAGTATTTGTGAATAGTCAAGCACATACTCGCTTAGCAGGGTAGTCAAGGGAACATTTACATAAGCTAATTCAAGAAGCGAGACGTATTATTGTTATGGACAATGACTTTACTGATCTTAATATAGAATGGATCAAATCACTTCGAAAGGCAAGCAATTTTCAGTTATCCATAATACTTATTAACTCCAGAAAGGTAAATTGTTCTATCTGGCTCCTAATAAAGAAACTTTATTGTCAGAACTCTGGGATTGGACTAGAAAAATATTTGTATTGGAACCCGAGGAGCGAAAGAGTGCATCGGTTATATGTCATCTTAGAAAGGATGTACAAGGAATTGTTCGTGCTCTTAAAACTGATTTTTCAGAATTACGTATCAAGGAGTATCATGGTGATTCTGATCCAGTTGAAAAAATACGGGACTTTAGTAATGTTGAGGAAGCATGGAAAGATATAGATATAGTGGCATACACCAGTACGTTAAAAATAGGAGTCTCATGTACTAATCCAAGTTTGAGTGGATATTTTGTCTTTTCAAAAGTTATATAAAAACAAATGTTGGGACAAACCAGATGTTATTCCGTATGAGGTGTATTAAAAAATACACATGTCACATTGAACAAAGATCGTCAAACCTCCCAATTACAGAACAAGGATTATTCTACTGGTTATTAAAAGCTAAGCGCGAATGTTTTCCCCAAGAACTTCAGATTAGGGGAGTATTCCCAGATGTAGAATCCATTATCCGAAATAGAAACATTCCAACAGTTTGATTATGGGTTGCCTATACATTGGAAAGGTTCCGATCTCGTCGTTTGTTTGGATGGAAAATGGTTGATTTTCTCTGAAAAGCAGAAATGGGGATCGATATATTAGAATCAGTAGTACTGCCTAAACTTGGAGATGGTACAATATTATACTTGCACGCGAAATTATTTTGGGACCCCGAAATTACAATTTTGGAGAAAAAAGTCAAAATAGTTTTTCATAGAAGACAAAATTATTTTACTTAAAATCCAAAATTTTTTGACCACCCAGATTTATTCTTTGATTAAAGATACATATAACTAGGTACTTTTTTTACTTCCATATATAGAATAGATTTTACATAAATTTCAAAAAGTCGAAATATCTCAAAAATCTAAAATCAATTTTGGAAACATATATATACAATATCATTAACTGAAACAATAAAAGCATGTTCTTTAGTTATTAAAGCAGAGGGTTTCAAACATCGCCAATACTAATATTATTAATCACGAAATGGCTGAGATTCTAGAGAATAAATCAAAAAAGACCTTAGAGAAAATGCGAGCCCTAAAGCAGTTTCATATAGCAGAGTGTTATGGGTTATCATCTGAATCTTTAACTGAGGAATTCATTACGGATTATGGTAAATATAATTGAAATGAGATAGTTCAGAAATCTCCGGAAACTACAAGATGCAGGTACCAATAATAAGACAGCAGTTGAAGCCGTTACCTGTGAAGATTATAGAAATGATAGGCTTACAACTGTTACCCAAGCTGAGAAGCATCAAATTTACCTGGAATTACTAAAGACTTGTACACCAGTTAAAGATATTGATGATCAAGATAAATATAAAGCGAATATTGTTAAAACATGTTTAGAATCATCCAAATCCATAAAATATTTCCAAGAATTGATCCCTAAAATGGCACGAGTTTTTGATAATACAGACGCATCTCGTAGTGTTAAAAAATCTAGCTTAAAATCAATAAAATCAAAATTAGGATTGTTAAACTTAGCACTTTCTACAACATATGGAATAAAATTTAAGGCTATAGATAAAAATCTTAGATATTATCATCTAGTTAGACCATTCGATAGTGAAGATACCTCAAAATTACCAGCATATCAAACAGTTAAAGGACCTTTTTACGAGAATGGAGAAGATATATGTTACGGATATAATAAACTCTTACCTGATGAATTAGAACCACCTCCTAATTGTATCTCACAAAATACTCAGGACTTATTCGATATCATTTAAAATGAGTATTTAGAATCTGTGGTATATTTCACAAAGGGGTTTTTGTGACACTTAAAATGATACTTGTAAAAAATTCATTACGAAGGCCATTTTTGTGATACTTAAAACTGATATCTATAGTTATATGGTAACTACCTTTGGCAAAAGTGAGTATAATTATGCATCAGCTTCTATTCTCTGTGCCTTTTGTCTCTCATACCAATTTCAAAAATAAATCTTCTTCACATGTTTAGGACAATATCTTATAACAGCACTTGTTCATTTCTCACAGACCCTACAAGAAATTTTTGCCACATTCCTATCATATAATTTCCAGTGTAGCGAACACCCTGTGATCTGCCAACAACCTTTTCCACAAATCAAACCATCTCTTTTGATATATGGACAGGTTAAACACCCTGAAGCATCTCTTTTAACATTTTTACAGTATCCAGAATCATCTCTTTTAATGTATTGACAGGTTGGATTCCCTATTCAAAAATTGTTTTAATATAAAACCCATTTCACTTTTATGTAAATATATTTAATATAAATTCAATTTAAATCTTTTTAGGTTATAATGGTATATTATATTCGAAGTATTGCTTATAACCTCTCAAATTCCATAAAACCCTATATATTTACTAAAATATTTTTCTTTACCCGCATTTTCATGTATATAAAAATCAATTTAAACTTTTTCAAACTATATTGTAACAACATAATCGAATATATATTGATACTATATACCACACCAATACTACACAAAAATATATAAAATGTACATCCGAGAGCCAGAATATAATAAAGAAACAATTTCTAGCAATAAATTATTCAAATTGCCTAGACGTTCAGGAAAACTAAAAATATATAACCCAAAAACTAACTGTATGATCGCAATCAATGGACAAGCATATAATGTCTTGATATGAGATGGATATATGCATTGAAAAAAGGAAAAAGTTTTAGTTCCTCCAATTCATGAAAAATTAGCATTGGGAAAATAGTTCATGTTCATGTCTAATCGTTTTTGGGATATCGCATACAATCGAGGAAAAAGTTTACTTTCATTAATTGATGGGAAAACGAGTTTATTACAAGTATTACTTGAAGTATATAATAATCATTCCATACACCAGTTGTTAAAAATTGACTGGAATAGTATAGAAACGAGAGAGTGGAGAAACAGTATACATCAGTAAATTTAATTAGGCGTCGATTTACGGAATCTCACATGACTTCCAGAAATTTCCGCCTGAAAAATTTGATTTTTAACTTTGGCCGATATTTAAGCGACAGGGAGCGATTTTCTACTAAGATGTTTCTAAGATAGATCGAAAGCCCTGGTTTTTGGCTACAAGAT